ATTAATGAGATGCAAATTGATTATTGCCTATATATGGTGATCAGGCAGAAGCTTGCATATACATGTGTTTGACATGCCTGGACTGATCAAGTTTAAACTTCACACATAAATCACATACTAGTATTAGATCTTGTATATATCAAACAGGGACTATTTTATTGACAATGACATGTACTTATAGCCACCACCCACCCACTCACACACCCTCAAGTTATCGATACTTCAAACTATATAAATTATATAATATCTGTTCATTGTCTGTTGGCTATAATTAAGGCACTCAAATACTTATTCATGAGTTAAATAATTTACTAGATTGGGAACTCAGCCTCACAGGCCAAAACACTGTTATTGTACCACCTCAGGTCACTAAATTAATTGGGTTCATTACTAATTCTTACTTTACTAATTACTTTCTTGGATATTACTGTGGATATGATATGATATGAAAGGTACCCTTCGGTGGTGTGAAAGATTTTCTCGTGATTCAATTTTAAACCACATCAAGTTTCTATGGTCGATGAATAGCTGGAATAAGCTCCCAGGTTTAGTATTAGTATACATTCTCACTGCAATCCAAATATGGACTTTTATGATGTTGCATGATTTACATACGAGTCAAGCGTTATTGAAGGCATATATATCAGAGACAACCTAGAGGGGGGGCAAAGGTTATTTTCGTTCAACGTAATTGCAATATTTTTTTGTTCGTACAACGTAAATTGAAAAAAATAAATTCCGTAATTCTGTAATCACAGGCTAGACGTACAACGTAATCAATCAAATATTTTTTTCGTACACTGTAAAAATGTGTCATTTTTCTCGGTACGTACAAGAATTTACATTCAAATAAAAAAATCGTAAAGAATAATCCAGGGAAATTACATTTTAGAAACTGTAAAACGACTAGATGACACATTTCACTGCAAAAAGGCCCTCTAACCGAATGAAGAGCATTACGAGGGTACTATGAGCCTGCGTCTCTACACGCGGCGCAGCAATGGCGAAAAATTTGAGGTGGAGAGCTCTTCGGACCAATCAATGTTCCATTTTTTATTACTATAAACTGTAAAAACGTCTTTTTTTCTTTGTAAATTGTAAAAAGCCCTTTTTATTTTCCGTAAAACTGTACCAGCTACCCCCCTTGCCCACCCTCAACCTACACCCCTATCCCCACCCTATAAAGTCACATGTCTACAAGGGTCTATATATGCATCATCTAAAAAGAAATGTCCTGGTAACTGTTCTAGAGAGGAACAGATTTACAAACATACAATGTGCATTCATGCCTGCATGTATGTTTTTTTTGAAAAATAACCATTTTTATCTCAAAAGTCTGTCTTATCTTTTCACCACCAGTTTCCTGTTTTCATCACAAATTCACAAAATAGTCTGTTTATAGTCTACACTCTCCTTTAAACGGTTTTGACAAAAAAAGCCAATTTGTTTTAGTAAAAACTAAAAAATTAACTCACATTTTGTCTTTTGGCTCCAAAATCTTGTTTTTTTCCCTAGAAATATTGAAGAATATTTTAAAAATGTACACAAAAATTTGAAAATGTTAAATGCAATAGATATATGGGCATATTCTAGAGAGTTTAAAGTTTTTAATTGGAGGCTCAATCTTGAATCTTAATACCAACAACTAACTTATTTGAAAGACGTGCCTCTTGTACCATTGTAGTCATATGTGGAACTATGTAAAAGCAATGCTGTAATTATTCTATTAGTAGCACCTATGTAAGTTGTATTTTAATAATATACTGTGGAATACTTTATTTTCGCTGGAATAAATTTTCGCTGAAAAGGCTCTTTAGGCGTTTTGTGTGGAATTTATTTTCACTGATTTTTGATGAGTTTAATATGAAATATAGGAAAAAAAGTATATTCGCTCGATTTTATTTTCACGGAAACATCCCTTCAGCGAAAATAGCGAAAATAAATTCCAAGCGAAAATAATATTCTACAGTACTACAATAAATGCAGCTATTGATTTATTTGTGCCTTATATAGGAGAAGAGCTTGTAATAGAGCATATACAACATTTGCATAATATTTTACATGTGTACTGAGCAGGCTTCTCAAACATTATAAATATTATGTTAAGTCCATCTATGAGATATAGTTGGACTTCACTGGTTGTGCAAATGTCCTATGTGCAGCGTGGAGTGAAGAAGATACCTTGTTTGATTTATACCTGTCACACAAGATCAACAAAAAAATCTTGTTATTTTTGAATCGCCATCCCTCTATCATATCATAGAGAGACTGTGTTTCAGTTAACTCGAAGATATTATAATTATTAAAGTCAGTAAAATAACAAAAAACTGTAATTGTTAAGTGACGCTGGCAGAATTCACGAAACGATGGCAAGACATCCGATGTGAGCCGGAGCATATACAATTGAATTTACAACTGCCAAAGTAGCTTCCAGGATCATTATTTGAAATAGAAATTAAATTTCCGACTCTAAGAGCTTCTTGACAAGGCTTCTTGAAATGTTGGCAGGAAATGATAGCACTACAAGTCTAGCGTCTACGAATTACACTCATTCTGGTGAAAATCGAAACTAAACAGATAAAAGGAAAAATTATTAGGGTGCCTTGCATGGGTCAAAGGTCACAACAGTTAAAACACATTATGGAGATCAAAGGTCATCAAGACAGGGATTTATGCATCAAGGATGGAGCTCAAAACCACTATGCATCAAGGTGGCATATGATTGCAGTTTTGGTTATAATCTTTGCAGATCAGAAGTAATGTAGAATACTTTATATTTGCTTGGAATTAATTTTCGCTAGTTTTGCTAAAGGAATTCAGTGAAAATAAAATCCAGCAAATATACCTTTTTCCCTATATATCACATTCAATTCGTCAAAAATCAATGAAAATAAATTCCATACAAAACACGCAAAAAGTCTACTCAGCGAAAATTACTTCCAGCTAAAATAAAGTAACTTACAGTTAAACCCCTCATGAATAACTATATATTACAAAAATTACTTTTAGTCAAATGTGAGATTGACAAAATAAGATTGAGATTATAAAACAATTTCTCTGAAATGTTGTGATGGGATTTCTGAAAATAATTGAGCACTGTTGAAAACTAAACAACTTATTGATGCCAACCGTCATTAGTCAGGATTAGTCTAGCTGCCAGATTATGTGCTTCCTGGATTAGATCCATGTCACATAAGAATGGCGCCCTCTAATCAGATTGTACGTAAAGTGAATGTTAATTATTACATATATGTAATATCTATATATAGTAAATTGATTACCTAATGCTATTAAATAAATCTGTACTCTGAGACCATATAAAGCTTCATTGAGGGGATTGGGTGTTAATGTAAAATATTTTGACTGAATCAAGATGTGTGAATTTCTGCGTATTTGAGGCCCAAATTTCTGCTTGTTCTGAATTATTTCGGGCTCCAGTAACTGGCAATAGAGGCAAGTCTTTATGAATCTGCATATTTCAATCAGTACACTATCCCAATTGTGTTTACCAAATAAAAGCAAACAGTCATATGTGAATTTAGCTGAAATGGTCGCTAATATTCAAACACTTTGAAAACCATTGAAAATTGATTGTTTAGTGTAAACTGAAGGCAATCAACAATTTCACACAATTGTGCCAAAGCTTCATGAATGTTCACCGAGAGCAACTTTGTCTAAAAATTGTACCTTGAACAACAGCAATCTAAGTGTCTCTAATCAGCCTACAGACAACACCTGTAGTGATGAGAGATCCAGTAAACCTGCATATTTCACTGTTTCGATATCAAAAACAGGTCTATTTTTTGCAATTTACAACATTACTATGAATATCATAGTACTGATGGTATGTTTTGAACATTGGCAAAGATTTTCTTGAAAACCTAGTTAGACTTGAGAGCAAAGAAGAAACAATTAAGTCCTATGTGAATAAAGTAACTCTAGTCAGTTACTGTTATGTAACAGTGATATTAAATAACTATCTGTTTATGAGAAGGATATCTGTATTTATTACGCTTGAACAGACAGCATGTTAGCAGTCCAAATTTGATAGTCATACCTCCATAATTCTACCCACGGCACTACGTGAAGGGCTTAACAACCAGATATCTCAATTCTCCAGTCGCATTTCTGCTTTTTTAAAAAATCCTCCACTGTGGCCTCCCTACATGTAGCTGTTAACTCTTAATATAGCAAAGTGGGGTTAAAGTTTTTCTGCACCAATCGTTATATAATAATAAATGAATTTAATCAAAGTTATGTGGGCAGTGATTAGAAAAATGAATCTGATTACGCAAAACAGAATTATATAATTGACCTGCATCTTAAAGCTCTGACAGACTGGTTCCTTGCAACTGTGATGTGATATAAGATGACAACGTCATCAAAAAAAAATGCACTTTATCAATTGACTGAGAGAGAACATAATTTACCATGAAATGGATTTTTTTGAAGTGATTTGCTACTACAAGGTCAACAAGGTTGCACTCCCTTCTAAAACTTCATATTTGATGCATATGATGCTTTTATGCATGCACTTCGCCTCGTTTACTGTTGTATGCCAATATTTAACGCCAAATTTAATGACATTCAGTTGCAATGCCTTGCTCTGCACACCAGCAAAGTACATACACTCAAGTGAATACCACTTTGAGTATGTAACTTTTTAGTATACCCCCCTCCTCTCCCCGGTACTAGCAAAGCCACACTGCTGTAAACTCTATAGTAGAACCTGCAAAGGTTTAATTTTTATATTCCTCAGTAAATCTGTATTCCTGAGCATTTATATCTTTGATTATATACCTCCCTACTGTACTTGCAAAATTGTTCTTCTGTAATATCTACATGTATGTACTATTTATACTCCCTAGCACCCAAACAATAGCATTATCCCGAGTATATACAAAAATTGGTATTGGTATTGCTATGCTAATAGAGATTTAGTTTGAGATTTAGTGTATATGTATAACATTCAGCATTTCTCTGTTTGTTTTTTTGTTCAGGTGGCAATAGTGGTTCACGAACATCACCATCTAATCCAAGTGGCAACAACTCAGGTCAACCAAACAAGTCACTGCGTAGTAACCGTGGTTCCAGTGGAGGAGATCAAAACGAACAACCTAACAATACCTCATACTCAAGTCGTACAAATCGAAATAAAGATACTCCACTTTTCTATATTGGAGGGGGAAATGGTGTGTCATTGTAAGTATTATGAACAATTTTATTTTAAATTATTTTGACAAATTTCGTTTTCATACTTCTTGTAGTGGCTGGTATGTTGGCTGTAATGGAACACGACTTATATCAATTCTGGCGCTCGCAATCTTGAAATATCAATACTGTCTTCAACTGCCTAATAAAACTAATCTGGAATTCTTGAATACAGCGTGATTCAGCTAACTGTAATTTTTTCATGCCTCTTCTCTAACTATACATTTCTCATGACTCAACTCTTGCTTTTAAAACTATACATTTCTCATGACTCACCTCTTGCTTAACTATAAATTTCTTATTCCTCAACTATTGCCTAATTATACATTTCTCATGACTCAACTCTTGCTTGACCATAAATTTCTTATTCATCAACTATTGCCTAACTATACATTTCTCATGACTCAACTTGCCTAACTGTAAATTGTTCATGACTCAACTCTTGCTTAACTATACATTTCTCATGACTCAACTCTTGCTTAACCATAAATTTCTTATTCCTCAACTCTTGCTTAACTATACATTTCTCATGACTCAACCCTTGCTTAACCATAAATTTCTTTGCCTCAACTATTGCCTAACTATGCACTTCTCATGACTCAACTCTTGCCTAACTATACATTTCTCATGACTCAACTCTTACCTAACTGTAAATTGTTTATGACTCAACTCTTGAATAACTGAACAATTATAATTTTTTGACCAATTCTTGCTTCAAGTAATCCAATTAATGGTAACACCTCCCAGCAATCATTGCATCACACGTTATGTCTTGTACTGTGGAATACTTTATTTTCGCTTGGAATTAATTTTCACTATTTTCACTGAAGAATGATTCAGTGAAACTAAAATCCAGCGAAATGACCTTGTCAAAAATCAGTGAAAATACCAAAAAAGTCTATTCAGCGAAAATTAATTCCAGCTAAAATAATGTATTTTACAGTACCTGCATTGTTCACCATCTGAGAATCTGTTCTATGATATTACCATATATGCACTATACAATGTATGGTATCTTTAAGATTAGTGGTGTTATGTGACTATTGTTTGACATGTTTTCAAATATTGGAGATTGTTTGGGCTTTCCTTTTTTTGTGCTCAAATGTCATTTTCTAATTGTATCCCAAGGTGCATGAATTCACAAAGAATGGTACTGCTGGCCACAATTATTCAAAACAAGGATACTCACATATTTTCTACATTTTATATTTATCAAAAATGTGTCCCAAAACACCAGTTTAACGTTAAGATCATTGCTTTTGTTAGAAACATGTATTGTCAAGTTAGTAATACAGTTCTGATTGGATAATGCAATTTGTTAATAAGTACTCTGATTGGACAATGTATTTTTTGAATAACCATTCCTGATTGGATAATGTAATTCTTGAATAACCACTCCTGATTTGACAATGCAATTTTTTAATGACTTTTTGCTTGTAGAATATAAATAGCGCTATTATCTCTGTTTTTTTATTACTCTGTGTATGTTAACTATAGAGTTGAAGAATGCCTATTAGCGAGAGGTTGGCAACGCACTCAGGACAGATACTTTCAGGAGTACAAGTTGAAATGGGTGGAGCTTAAGAGCCATATTGATTATTCAGTTTTTCGCGAAGGTATGTCGCAGTGCGTGGCTATTGCTTGCTATCTTCGGAGGGAGGGAGGAATGTTCTGGTGTCAACAAAGATCAGCCAGCCCCAGTTGCCCCTCTCCTTCTAACGGATGTTCCGTGATTGCCCACTAGGGATTTACTTTGATTGACTGTTTGTTTTGATAGAATTGAAAAGCCTTTACTTGACAAGGGATGGATTAGGACACGTGACAAACAAACTGATGACTACAAACTAAAATGGGTGGAGCTACGATCCTCCATAAACTATCATAGATTCCGAGAAGGTTGGTGATTATTTTCTCACACCTATCACGTTATGAACGCCAACTTCTGTAGAAAATACTGTCTCTATCTTGCACTAAAGAATCAATATTGTACTTAATTACAACTGTACTAGTTATAATTTTTTCTGGGACCTAATTTTGATATTTTGGACAGTTTAAAATTCATGGATTTGTCGATGAAACGGTTAAAAAAAAAAGAATTGGCCTTATCAACATGAAGTATATCAGCAAATTAACGAGGTTGAAAATCTTGATATTTTTAGTGTTATTTACAAAATAATTTTAATGAAAAACTATGTACAATTTGTCAAAAATTAGGAAATTATTAAAAAAATATGCAAAATGTTGCATCCAAATTTTGGTAGGAAATATTACCGGAAATATAAAGGAAATGTTATGGTTGAAGAATTAATTTATGAGACTACCCGGTAATTTTTATTTGTCAAGGAAATCATCTGCAATTTTGTTAGTTGTGAAAGTTTCACTGTTTTTTAGACAGTCACAAGAGTAATAGTGGAAATGGTGTCCTGCAACACATTGTGTCAGCGATTGCAAAATATTGTCTTCTTTAATGCAATAAAATTATTAAATCATAAAAATACCTAACATGAAAAATTAAGTAGTTTACAGAATACACCATACTTGTTACATGGCATATTACCATGTGTTCACAAGAAGGATTATTATGGCTCAGTTTTAGATAATTTTAAAAATACAAAGAAAATTTCAGTCAGTTTCCTTTACCATAAACGATTATATGACAATGACAAACTTACATATATTCATCGATTTTGATCTTTCTTATCACAATTTTTATCACGCACATCAATTACGTCTTTCCTGATCTTCTAAGTCATGTGATAAATTAATTCTATAAATAGCCTAATTGTGTGGCTTTTATCAAGCTGAACATAATATTCTAATGATTTTTTTTCAAACCAATTACTGAACCATCTCGGGCTCGTAAAAAGTCTAAACAACAGTAAATCTTGTTTAATTTGACCACTAATGTGTGGATGATAATAACGTTCACAATGTTGACTTTGCGATATTGATGAAATATTCAGCTATGATAATGCATTTGAGATAAAGTATGTCTTATTACATAGATCAGTATGGCGAATACACATATTTCTTCTCCTGGTATTGTTCTTTCTTAAGATATGATGAAAAAATACAATTGTATTTTAATGTCTGAAGGGCACAATCACTTTGCCACCTTGTTTCATTTGGCTTGTAGCTTTAGAGGGGCAGTGTGAACCCTCTGACCTTGATTGCCAAAATCAACTTTTCACATAGTAAACCTCAATAATTTTTTTCATATTTTTCAAGACATGTAGCCAATGGGAAATTATGTCCATTTGTTCCAAATATGACAAAAAATTATACAAAAATGAATAAAAATTTTCCAAATGTTACACCAAATTTTGGCGGGAAAAAATATAAGGGGAATTCACAAAAATCCTGTTGCTAATATCAACATAAAATGATAATATTATAACTATTTGCCCTTTGAGATGAAAAAGTAAATACAGATGTCAATTGATATGAGATTTTGATCCAAATCTTTTTGATTGTTACATATATACAAATATGTTACATTATGATAGTGTCATAGTAATTTCTTGTCTTGTCAATCTTATAGTACCGGTAATCAGAAAAAAACACTGGTCACACCCTATATCTGATTAAGCTGCTCTAAAACAGAAGCACATTTTCTTCTCCCACTAGAGGGCGCTGTCACTATATTTGAAATTCTTGGCTTCTGTTCCCTTTAAAGGCCCAGGTATACTATAAATACGCTCCTAAACAATAGGGATTATTTCCTTGCTTGTTACGCTGTAGTAAACAGCTCCAGCCAAGCTCCAGTAAAAACGCGTTTTCTCGAACTTACATGTCTATTATGTCGTGCCAAAGTGGATGCATGTGACTATGAATATCACAGCAGTGACTGTGTGTAGTATTTATGACAATAAATAGTGTACGAGCTGAGATTTTGGCGGATAAAAGTAAAAAACATGAACCGGGGAAAGGGATGCGCGACTAATCTTGAATAATTACTATTGTCAATCAAAGTCACGTGATGTTGGACCGCTGGAACAGGATGCGTCATAGGCTATGCAAGTGTTTAATACCATGCATTAGAATAGCCACACCTCCAATTCACACTTGCCCGGGGCAAGTGAATTGGGCCTTTAAAAACTTTGATTTATCACTCTTAATTGAAATATAATTAACTAAATAAAGATGTTTGTTTTGTTTTTGTAGGAGATCAGTTGGTTAATCGGATACCAAACAGCAGTCTCCTAGCAACCAAGGTTGGTTTAGTCACCAGTCTTAGGGAGTATGAAAGAGTTATGGACCGAGTTAAAGGCTCTAAACCACCTAGGTTGCTAAGAATGAATG